GGGTGGTAGTGGGGGTGGTAGTGGGGGTGGTAGTGGGGGTGGTAGTGGGGGTGGTAGTGGGTGGCAGTCGTAGTGGGAGTGCTAGTGGGGGTGGTAGTGGAGGTGGTAGTGGGGGTGGTAGTGGGGGTGATGGTGCTTGTGCTGATGCTGGTGCTGGTGCTGTTGGTGGTGGTGATAGACGACGATGTTGCTGATGGTGGTGATGACAGGGGTGATGTTGCTTCTGTTGGAGCTGCTGCTGCTGTGCAAAATGTTGCAAGTGCATCCTTTTTGCCTTGCTACGTGCTGCACATGTGGCGATGTCTTCGTATGTTGGGTGCTTCTATGCTGGTACAGGGCCTTGGGTCCTGCTTTCCCATTGCCTGTTCCAAACTCACCCACATGGCAACCAGTCCTTTCCATTCCACGCATTCACAAGCAAGCAACGCTCGCGAAACGGACCAATCACATAGCGCTAAACGATTACCCGCGTTTCCATGATCCTCTAATTTGGCTTGAGAACCCCACAACCCCATTCCATCTTCGGCCCTTACGCAGCCCCAGAACTATTTGCCAGAGGGGCCTGCGAGCGAGACAGGCCTCACAGCGCCGAGTCTGGGCCAGGTTCCTGGGGTGATGCGATGGCAGGAGAATGAAGCAAACCCGAAAGGGTTCGGCACAAGGGCAAAAGGGTGACTCAAGTCTGATGCCACAAGCTTTGGGCTTCTCTTCAAATTGAAAAGTAAGGGAAAAAGGACAAGCAAGTTATATGACTGATTGCCAAAGGATTTGACTTGTTGCTTGTGAAGTCAAATTGAAATAAAATAGCGTAAAAGGCTGGGAATACCAGAAAAAGACACAACCTGTTGAACAACTAGTAAAGAGTAAGTCTGGCAAGGGTTCTGCAGCGTGCAGGCGGCGCAGGTCCAGTCCGATTCAGCGTCGTCCGTGGCATCCGTCAGATCCGCTTTCCAAGGCTCTCTGCAGAGCTCGGGCGGAAGGGACTGCAGCGAGGGGATCCACTTCTTCACGTACCTAGAGGTCGATCTCTCATGGGATTTCAACCAACCGAGCCCCACTGTCCTTCGTTTGCTTCCAAGAAAAAACAACTGAGTAAGAGCCTGTTAAGGCTTCATGTGGAGGAAGCCAGGGGGAGGGGGTCTATCTCACTGGGGAAAGCTCTTTTGCTCCCCCCTCCGGGTGGGCAGACTAAGCTCAGGCGTTCGACAGGTTTGCTTCAAGATACGGAAACTCCCTTACTAGACCTCACTGACGAAAAAGAGACTTGCAGGCCTCGCGTCAGGGTCGTGGTCTCGGCCCCAGCCCAAAACCTAGCCAGATGCAGGCCGTTGGCTCAAACATGGTTCAAACATGAGGGGTATGCAGAATGTTCCTCTGACTAGTTCCGAAGTTAACATTCACGTCTTAACAGGGAAAAAGGCCACCACTGAAGGTTTGGGATGACTGAAACTCCCAGGAAACGTTTACTGCAAACCCCTATCATTTCAACATCAACTTATGTAGGTTTCCCATGAAAGGAATCCATGGCCAAGGTGTCTCTCTGCAAAATGGATCGCACTGGCCAATACAGATCGAAAGGAAAATAAAGGAAAATATTTACTAGCAGAATCCAGTCATTTCCACCGAATTGAAACGGAAAGGACACTTGCGATTCATGGTCTCGCTCTCCCTATCGCTTACAGTGGGGGAGCCCAAGACTAACTACATGTAGAACATCGGTTCCTGATGGAAGGAAGCCAGATCTTTCGTGGCTTGTCCCACTTCTGTGGAGGTTCTCACCAACTCACAATGGATCGGTCCACCAACCAAGCAAAAATCGAATCTTTGTATGAGAAAAAAACTTCATATGCGTGTTTCAGGCCATCTTGGAGCTCGGAACCCTGCCAAATGGATGCGGAAAATGGATGCATACCCCTGTAGTGATTCAAATAGATCTGCGGTTCACTCCGCAAAATAAAAATAAAGACCTATCCTCACGCCCAATGATCCCCCAGCCAAGTACCGCCAGCATCAGGAGAGAGCAAAATGTGTGGTTTCCTCTTGGTTGCTCTTCACGTGGAAAGCGGACAGTTGCACCAGCTTATCCCCAACTTAGGATCCAAACCTCTCCCATCCTTACCATCTACCCCCTTTCTCGCCTGGGAGGCCATGAGGTAGGGCGAGTACCGGGGCAGCGTGTACCGCGGCCCGCCCCCCGGCCGGTCGTCCTCGCGCGACGGGAGCTGCGTGAGGATGAAGTAGGCCCAGTTGCCTCGGACGCCGAAAAATAGGGAGAGGACCCGTTTGAGCGTAGAAGTAGGAGCAGCAGAAGCAGCAGTGATAGTGGTAGTAGTAGTAGTAGTAGTAGTAGCAGCAGCAGCAGTAGAAGTAGTGGTGGTGGTGGTGATAAAGGCGGGTCGTTGAAGGAAATTGCAAGGTCAGCCACCACAATGGAACCAACTGGAGGCGCCCCAAGTTTGCAACTGAGGCCAACTCCTGTTTAGTGAAAAGTACAATCAACGTGCGCTGAATCTCAGCCATTTTCTGAAACCTTCTAGCACCTTCAGCCAGGTAAACGAGCAAAAACCCAAGAAGAAGGTTCCTTTTGCGGGGGGAATCCCTTGATTCCAGTTTGAGCAGCGCCCAAAACTCCTATTGGCCATTTCAGCAGGACCAAAAGTCAACGGGTTCTCGGCGGTGCTCAGTTTGCAAGTCAAAAATGGGTGTGTCTGAAATGGCGGGACCCTCGGAGTGGACGGTTTGCTGATGATATTCCACCATCGAGGGCTTCTTCATTTGCTGACATGACACCTGAGTTCAAGGTATGTGCCTGCTGTGCGCCTTTGACTTTGAGTGTGCGTGTGCATGATGTTGTGGGTGCGTTTGTGTGTGGGTGTGTGGGGTGCGAGGCAGAATGCCTATTGTCGCTCATTTGTTCGGCAAAGCCACAAACCGCCTGAGGTTGGGTAGCTCATATCAAGGGCTTACTGGGGCCGCATGTCCATCTCCCATCTCAGAGGTCGTGCCCAATTGAGTTAAAAACAACAGGGCGCAACTCCCATCATCTCTCGAGCGCCCCCGACAGACCTTTTCACTTCCCACTAACAACCAGAACTCTCCACCCCCAATGGGTGAACTCGTGCACTAATTTGCCCAGACCTTTGCTTCCCAAGCCCGGCGCAGCGGAAAGGGATCCAACTGCAAATTGTGCAATACGTCCAAAACCGAAATTGGGGCTAAAGAACCTTCAGCCTGGTACGCTGGTTTTGGCCCAACGGGCGGTCTCAAAAGGCAGAATCCAAGGTGCCCCAGTTCAAGACGCAGTCATGGTCCAGTAGTCGGCTTTCGAACCATTCCGCCGCCAGGCGCCAATCAAGCTGAAGGTCACGCATGAAGAACCAGCCCACCGTCTCGCGGTTCAAATGCAGCATGTATCCTGTCTCCTCAGGCTCTCGGTTGTTAGAATATAGGGGGGCAAACCTAATCCTACTGTAAACTACCATCTGCGCGGAGATTCGGGATTCAAACCCAGGCGGGGCATGCAAACTGTAGCTGCGGCGAAACCAAGCGCTGTCTGTGATGTGTTTCTTCCTTTGCAACAATCACATGGAAGCCCGAAACGCAAAGGACACCTAGGGAACATTTGGCGACCACATGCCCAGTCTTGGTCAAGCTACAAATACCTCAAAAACCATATTCACAGCCATCCCTGTGACACCTGGCAACTTAGCAACAACTCAGCGCCCTATAATCCAAACGTGTTGAAGGCCCACCCCCCACCGGTTCCAACTACAGAAAGAGAAATAACCAACAATACAAACAACTCAAACAAGAAATTGGGAAATCCGGAAAGAGTTGAGCCAATAGAAACGATTTCAGTTGTAGCGATTCTCCGTTATAGTGAGTTCCACATCTATCTGTCAAGCTTCTAATTCTTCACTTTCTTATTTGCATGGCCTGTCATCTCTTGGGTCAAGACATATCTCCCCCCGTTCCCCGCTCCTTGAGCTCCAGCATGGCGGCATCCACAAAGGGATACCCCGTTCGCCCCTCCGCCCAGCGCTCAAACTTGGCCAAGTCCTCGCGCTCGGAGCCGGAGAGGGAAAAGCGGCACAGGACAAGGGGTCGGTTCGACTGGGTCTGTGGATCCCTCCAGAAACACGAAAACCCCTCTGAACTCCGAAAGCCTTTCTTGGGGCAAGTTGCACAAAACATGAGACACGTCAAAAACTCCTAGCTGTTTCAAGAAGGGTATGGCTAGGAGCCGAGGGAGTTTTTGAGGCCATTAAAAAGATCGAGGTCCTTTTCCTTATGTTTCAAGGACCCACAGCAAAATGCAAGACATCTGGCAATGGGCAACAAGTGCCCAGGTGGGACTTGCTTGGACATCCTTTGCATGAAGAGTTTTGGCCACCAACCATTTTCGAGTGCAACCTTCCGCTTTTTGTGGGACTTCTACAGCAAATCCTTGGCTTCCCAATGATGCTAATTCTTCCCCAATTTCAAGCATCCGAAAGAAGGGTTCTTGCTTATTTGAAGCAGCATGCACGTAGACACAGGCATTTGGAAGCCTGCTATCTGATTTGGATTGCTTTGTTTAGAGGATATTCCGCTCATGTTCTTTTGCCATTTGGCTTTGTTTTTTCAATCGTTGGAACACCCTCAGTTGACACACCCTTGATTGCTTCATGGGATAGTCACATTCAAGACAAGTCAACTCTGATTTTTCTTTGGGCACGTTTCCCTTTCTTCATCTACCAGGCGGATTGTCCAGGTTTAATGGCTCTCACACCTCAACCCACAAGATCTTGGTAACTTGGTGCGGATTTCAATGTATTCCGAATGCGTCGCCGGAGGTAAACATGGGTCTGTCTCAGGGGGAGCCCCTTCCGAAAGGCCCGGAGGGACGCAACTCGCTTGAGAAACATGTGTCACACCGGTCAAAACATGCAAGCACGCAAAGGAAAGCACGCAAAGGAAAGCTTGGGTTGGAGGTTCCTGGACATTTTGACCAAAACATGTCCCAAGGCAAGGGCATCTTTACTTTGGTCTTTGATTTCGAAGGGACGCGGGCTCAAAGAAAAAGGCTGGGGGAGGTTTGGTGTGGGTATGTGTCAGAATAGGAAAACGGGATGACCAAAAACAAGGTAGCCTTGGTGCCCTTTACCTGAAATTGGTACCCAAAAAAGGCAAAAACAGACCACGCTCATGTGCTGCGAAGAAAAGATGCACTGGAGGTCTGGGACGTGATTCCCCCGCAGTTTCCACAGCCTGGCCTTCTTCCAAGTCCACAGTCTAGGATCCGAGCCTCCGAAAAGGTTGTTGTAGTGCTTGCAGCACCACTTGGTGGGCACCTGGTCTCCAAAGGACAAGACCCAAACAAAGCGAACACCTACTCCCCTGCAAATTGACATGGAAACCAAAAAGGGGAGCCAACCGGAAACCAGCGATGTGCGGCATCGGTTAGCACCTTGGTCTCTTTCAGGTGTCCCTTTAAAAAAGAAGAAGAAAAAAAAACACAACAAGGGACAAGGGGGCCACCCGTATTGCCAATCGCCGGAATGATCCTCTTCGAAAGCACTATGTTTTGCTAGGGTTCCATGAAAATCTTCAGGCGGTAAATATGAAGAGCAAAATGACTAGTCTTGATTTTTTAGACTTCGAGTACGCCAAAACCCCATTCTAATTACTCCCATACAATTTGACATGGAACACAAAAACTGGGTCCTTGCCCTGACAGAAGGAATGTGAGTATTTGGGCTTCCTGATAATCTGCATTGTGTTCAGCAGCCCAAAACCAGCCTCCTTACCCCAAACCTGTAAATTCCCTTGGGAAGGCCACTCATGTTCTTCATTAGTGATGACAAAAGGCTTCCAGCCCTCCAAAGGGGATGCTTCACAGTCTGGGAGCCCCCGCTTGGTTGGGGAGCCGGTTTCCGGTGGCAACAAGTCCAAATCACAAATCAGCGGGCGGCCCAAAAAAACCTTGGCCAGACTTGCTGGCTCACAGGGAAAAACCTCACAGGCGGCAACACCTATGCCTGAGCCGGGTTGCAACTAAAAGGAGCGCTTGCCGCAAGATCCTATATATCCTAGTATACACCAATATCTTTGGAACGCAGGGGGCATGGGCCTGCATGTTTGCAGCCATCAGGGTCACAAATGATTGTCAGGTTTTGGCGTTGATATGCAGAACTTGCAAACCGTTCCTTGAGTTTCTATTGGTTGGCACGCACCGCGCGGCAGGTGGTCTTCGGGTGCCGGCTCCCTGTCGGGTCTGCGGCCGCAACTTGGCAATGAGTGTAAATGCAGGGAAACAAAGCTTAATTTTAAAAAAAAAATGGACAAGAAATGACAGGAAGTGTGTACCTTTATATCCTTACGCCTTGTACCCTCATATCCTCATATCTATAGGTTGAAAAGGGTTGTGGCCGTTGTGGCCACAGCCCTTTTGCGCGATTGATTCACCAAACCAAACTCACCGAAAACGGGCACCTATCTGGGCAAACTACTAGAACTCGCCGGACTTTCTTCCCCTGCAAGACGCTTTCACCCGGAGCCTATGCCACCCATGCCACGGCTGGCTGCCCCCTCTTCGAAGCGCCTGCCTTGTGGCCGCCCGGCACAGAGCCGCAGCTCATGGGCCCATAGAGGTGGAAGAGGCGGTCCCCCCAGGCGAAGTGCACCTCTCCAGGTTGCAGCTCGTTTCAACCAAACTTCCCAGCACTTTTTCAGCTGAGGCGGCAGAAACGAAACGAAAACCACTTTGTTTGGGGGGGGTTCATCTGATTTGTCTTGACACACGTGCCGGACGGACGCAAGTAAGGCACCAGGTGAGTGGCTTATGCCAGGGCCCATCCCAACCGGGGCAGGAGCTTGTCACACAAATAACCCACTTGCAAATGTAAAAGGTGTTTGTTTTTTGTTGTTTTTTTGTTTTTTATCATGGACCTAGGGCGTGGGGCCTATTGCCCAAGAAAACCAAAATGGAACCCAAAAGGCCTGTTGCTCATACTGCGGGACATTTGGTTGGTGGGGCCCCAATCCTGCCTACCAGACTTTTGCTAGTCGCTCCTTTCACTTCGGTTCCCCCTGTGTTGAGCTTGCTGCACCAATTTGTCGCATGGAAGCGGGAGCCCCCGTTCGCCGTTCGCGTCCATTGGACTTCTGTGTTGGTTCGCCCGTGGAAAGCCTTTGGGCCTTTGGGCCCTCGAAGCGCCGGCATCTCCGGCAACCAGAGTGGGAAAATCACCCAAAATGGACAGTGTCCTTCAAAACCATTCAAGGAGTTGTAGGATCCCACTGGCAACTCACTGTCCAGAAATGTGTACCTGCCGGCAGGGAAATAGGGAAGACTGGATTGATGAATCCCTGGTTGATTGATATCATAGCGTCCCCACCCCCCTCCTTGGCAGAAATCTCAGTCCCAGCCAAGGCGCAATGAACCTGTAGAAGTCTCGCCAGAGCAAGGAGTTGATGAGCCCCCGCGCGCCCTGAAATTGGGACCATGGTAAACCCATGGATCCAACATCAACTGAATCAGAAGTTGTCTACAAAGGGATCCCTTTAGGATGTGCTGAAAGAGACCAAAGGGATTCGCTTTTCATCAGAGGTCCAATTCCTATTTTTGGCAGCACCCAACGAATCTGCTATGCTGCCACTTGCCACTCCCTTGTTGCACTCATGTGGTGGATGAAACCCAAAAAAATGGCCTGCTGCTGGCACACGCATCAACCAAAAACGTGGGCTTGGCACCTAAGAGTGTCCAACGTACTCGAAATAAAGGCTTCGCCTTTGCCAACCTCTACCTGTCCCAGTGGGTCCCCGGCGCTTTGCCAGGTATAATGTCCACGTAGGATTAACAAATGCACCTGTAATAAAGACAAATGGGGGGCCCAAAATAATTAATAAATGCACCTAGAATAAAGACAAGCCCCTGCCCCCCCCGCCCATGAAAAAAAATGTCCCCCCAAAAAAAAAGTCACAAAAAAAGTCTCAAAAAGAAGAGAGAAAGAGAGAAAGGATAGGAAGGAGAGGAGAGATAGCCACCCCTTGTCCTTGGATCTTTGGCACCTTGCTCTTGGCACCTGCTTCTTTCCTCACCCAGTAGCTCAAAGCTTTCTCTGGGCAGCATGCTAAGCAGGCTGTGTACCTGCACTTTGAGCACCTGAAAAGTGCAGCTTTGGCTTTCCAAACTGCTTCTCTGGCATCTGGGCTCAAATCTTTGTGGGTGAAATACTGTGAATTCTGCTCAAAAGCTGCCTTTGCTGCTTGAGCTGTCTTGGAGTTCTGATCTTTTGCCTTGGCAAGAATCTCCAAGGCTTTCATTCTTCTTTGCTCCTGCTGCTCTTCAAGCTTCTTTTCCCTTTCTTTTGCTTTGGCCACTTCTGCATGAACTTTCTCAACTTCTAGCTGCAACTGCTTGTACAGTGCTTCCAACCTCTTGTCCCAGCTCTGGGCCAGCACACCTGGCCAGCCTCTGGCAGCTGGGCCTTCTGAAGCTAGCTCTGCCAGCTCTGCCTCAATGTAAGACAGAACTAGCTGGCCACTTTCTGAGGCTGTTTGCCTGCAGCTGTTGCACCTGGCTGGCACTTCTGGCAACTCTGAGGCAGCTGTGAGAGCTTGCATTGCTATTGCTGCCTTGTGCTTGCAATCTGCATGCTCATCTGCCAAGGTGTCCCTGTAGCAGAACTGCCAGGCTGCATCTGGACTGGACCTGTGGCCAACTAGTAAGGCCCAGTGAGCTGGGCTGCCCAGAACTGGCACAAAAATGTGCACCTTGTTGCTTGCCAGCTGCTGGATCTCTTCTTTCCACCTTTCTTCTTTGTCAATCTTGTAGGCGCACTCTGCATCCACAAGCTGGCAGCTCTCCAAGAACTCATGGCCTGAGAACTGCCATCTGAGCAGGTGCCAGCTCAAAGCTATGTGGCCACCCTCCAGCATGTTCATCTTTGGTGGCTCTGGCACAACTGCTTCTGCTTTCACTCCCAGGGCTGGCATGCAACCTGAAAGCTGCAGGAACTCCTGCTTTTTCAACCTGCCAAGCTGTGTGAACTGCTTCCACACAGCTGCCTTCTTCCAGGAACTGTCTTTCAACTGCAAGTGCTGCTGATGGCAACTCATCACACCATAATCTGTGAAGATTGAAGCTTTTCCATCTGTCTGTGCATCTGCAAAACTGCCTTCTTTGCCATACTGCAAGGCACCTGCTTCTTCCTTCACAACTCTCAACTCCTCTCCTTTCTTGAAAGGCAACTGCAAGTCCTCAACTGGCTCTGCAGCCTTTGCAGCCTTCTTCTCAACTTCATCTTCTTTCAAGGCTAGCAGCAGAGCTTTGTCCTTGATGGCCTTCTTCTTGCTCTTGGCTAGCTCTTTCTTCACAAGGCTACCTTTCTCCTTCAAACTTGGCTTTGATTTGGATGAAGCTTTGAGGATCAAAGAGGGCTTCAACTTTGCTGAATCTTTGGTCTTCAAAGAAGACTTTCCCTTTGCCTTGGCCTTTGCTTGTGCAACTGGAATTATGTCTTCCATGGCTTCTCGCTTTGACATCTTTGCCAGCTTGCTCCTGATCTCTGCAAAACTCAACCTTGAAGCAGCTTTCCTTGCAGCTTGCCTGGCAGCTTTCAGCTTTGCCTTGTTGGCTGCCAACTTGACAAGCTCTTGCCAACTATCTTGCTGAGCTTTCCTTCTGATGTGAGCTCTCCTCAAACCTGGGCTCATCCTCAGGAACAAACTGTTCCAAAGTGGAACTTGCAGCTCTGTTGCTATCTCATCTTCATTGGGTATGTCAAGGGTGTCCCCACCTCCATCTGCATCTCCAGCTTCCTCTCCACCTTCATCTGTTTCAGCTGGGTTCTTGTAGCTCCACTCTATCAAGTCAGCTACCTGCGTGGCGCTGGAACTCAGGGCAAAATCTGCAGGCTGTGGAATTCCATCTTTGACCCAGCTGAACCTTGGCTCCAGCCAACTGTTGGGAATTCTCCTTGACCCCTGTGCCAGACCTCTTGCTTTGGCCCAACTTTCACCTAGAAAGGGCACAAGCTTTCCTGCCTCTGGTGAAGCTTTGAAAGCTATGAGGCCATTCCTCACACTCCCACCCACAATCCAATCTGTGTCAACCTGTCTTTGAACTGCTTGTCTCTGAGCTCCAACTGTGGCAAGGATGATCTCTTTGTAGCCAATCTTATACTCTCTGCCATCTTTCTTAGCTGCTAGCCTTTGCTCCTCAAGCTGCTCTCTGAAACTGGCTTTGAAGCTCTTGGCAAAGTCTGTATCTGTCAACTGAAGCTGCTGTGTCATCTTTCCCAGGATCTGAGCACTTGCTTGGCAACCTGTGAACTGCCTTTGCACAACGTGTTCCTGGAAAACTGCACTGAAGCAATCTCTGATCCACAAGCTGCAAATCTCTTCTTCACATTGCTCTTCAACTATCCATGCTAGCAAAACTCCATCGCAGTTGGAACTGGGCTGTGTCATGATCTCCACCTCTTCAAACTCTTTTGGAAACTGCTTCCTCAGCTCAACTGCCCAAGCTAAGCCTCTGCACTTCTCTCCAGCTTGGTGCTCCACCTCCACACCTTTCACTTCAAACTTCTCTGTTCTCTTGTACTTGCCATTCTCATCTACATTGCTCAATCTGTTGTGCTTTCCAGGGAAAACTAACAGTCCAGGAAGCACATGTCCTTGCAGCTCCTCTTTGTTAGCTATGTTGGTCACCCTCTGCCTGGCCTCATAGGTTATGCGAAACTTCTCAGCAGCACTGTCTCCCTTCAAAACTCTGCTGCCAGCAACAACTTTGCCACCTGGCTCACCTCCATCTGCAGCTGTGATTACCTGATGGCCACCTTCTTTCCAAGCTTCCTGTGCAGCTTTCAGCTCCTCCCTGCAAGTGTTGAACTCCCTCCTCACCTCAGCCCCAACTCCTTGTAGATCTTCCTTTGAAAACACAACCTTGGTGGATGGGCTTTTGGCCCACAGGGGAACTTGATCTGACATGCCTATGCACAATCTGTGCCGGTTTGATATCACCTGGTCCACATCTGAAACTATTTGAGCTGACTCTAGCTCTTCTTTGGGAGCTGCTCCCATGAGCCACAGCTTGTGATCTATGGACTGGAAAGTCAGCTGTGCTCGCACCTTTTGCTCCAATGGAGCTAGGTGGGTGGTCTGTTCTTTGGCCATGAACTTTGCCCCCATCCACTTCAAGAGCAACTCTGTGTAGCTCTGTGCATAGCTCTTGCTCTTCTGCAACTTATTCTTCCTCTCCAGTGACTTTGCTGCTTCAATCTCCCACAACTTCTTCTGAAGCTGATCTGCGCTTTCTTCAGCTTTCTGCAAGCATCTTTCAGACCTTGCAACTAGGAGAGAGTAGAACTCTTCCCTGACCTCTCTCTTGCTGATGTTGTGGCCATTGCTCCTCTCTTCAGCTAGCCACATTCGCAGCTTCTCAATCTCCTCTCCAAAGTCATTCTTTCTTCCTCCTCCCTGAGCTCTAATACCTTTCCTGGTCCTCACACTCTTTGCTTTGCAACCTATCTTGGCACCTCCTTGAGCTCCAAGTCCCAACTTCTTTGTGAGCATCTGCCACTCTTCCTTTCTTGCATGCATATCTTTGAGCCTCCTTTTGTCTAGATTGTACTTCTGAACTGCCATCTTGTATAACTCCTCATCATCAGCACAGCTCGCCTTCATCTCCTCTAGGGAGATTGCAATCTCCAGCTTCTGCTGCGCAGTCAGCTCCCTTTTTCTACTTGGCTCTGCAAGTGCTCTCCTGTTGCTTTTCTTGCCTCCTGAGACACCTCTGTGTGCTTGCACAACTGTTTGTTCTTCAAATCTTGGTCTTCCTCCAAGCTTTCTTCTTTTCTTGATCCAATCTAAGAAACCTTCATCTGTTTCTGTGTGTATCTCTGCAAGCTTTAGCTCATATTCTGCCTGCACCTCCTCTGCTGCTAGCTGGGCTTTGCTTTTTTGTTGCCTTTTTGACCCCCAAGCTAGCTGCATGACTGGCTTGTGATCTGTGCTTTCACCTCCCCCCCAAAACCTCTTCAAGCTGAACTGCTTCTTGCCACTGCTGCCAGTGCTGGCTGGGCTCTGTTCAGCAACTGTGGTTGGGCTTGGGCTCGCAGACTGTGGGCCACTGTTGATCTTTCTGTAAGCTGTTGTCTTTCCTTCTGGTGTCTTGAAGCTGTCACTGGTGGACCTGCGGGTCTTGACCTCAGTGGTCCTGCTTTGGCTTACTATCTTCTGAGCTTGCTCTTGGGCCTGTCTCAACATCTCATCTGCTTGTGCCTTTGCTTTTGCTAAGATCTCCATGGCCTGTCGCTTTGCTGCTTCCTGTCAAAAGCAAGCTTCAAACTTGACAAGCTACCACCTAATCATGCTGTGTGCAACATGTCCTATCCCAAGACTTTATTCCAGGGGCCCCTATAATAAAGTCTTGATGAATGGTGCCCCCCCTGAAAAATGCAACTCCCTAATTGCAGTTACCTCTTGG